AAACTGGACTGCTTCTGGCTCCGCCGCAAGTCCTGTGATCTGTCCTGTCCTGTCCTGAGTTCCGTGAAACGGAAGTTTGTTTAAGTGAGGGGGTTCAAGGTTAAATAGCACGCCTTGCTTCAGTTATCCGGATCGTATACCCGTTGTAGCTTTCCGCGATGCAGTACGAGTTGCTCAGAATCGACTCCCCTTTGCACTATTATTGCATGACGGGAGATATACCGACTACGATGAATTTGTTGAAAACCGGTGACGATGAGTTGTTTTCTATGGATGATTTCCATTGCTGGACTCCGGCACATTGGGCCGCGAACTACGGAAGAGTAAGTTCTACCAGAACTAATATTCACTGTAATAAGACTGAGTGTCTTCGACTTTTAAAGGCACATAATGCCACCAGTACACCGTCCTTCAGGTCCATGGCCCTTCCGTTACATATGGCTTCCGAACGCGGCCACATCGACTGTGTACGTCTGTTGTTGGACGAAAACTGCAAGATAAATACTCAGGTAAGTTCAATTTTCTGACATTTCTTCTTGTTTCAGGATTATCAGGGTGATACACCATTACACAAAGCTGCCCGTGGTGGACACGTGCCATGTATCCAGGCTTTAGTTGCTGCCGGTGCCCGTGCAGAGTACGTTTCTATCTGTTTGTCTGACTTCCTCAGTATAAAAAACTTTTCTAGTAGAACGCCATCAGAAATTGCCGCTTTGGCAGGGCATTTTGAGATATCAGCCGCACTGAACGAGGTTGCTAGAGTGAATCGAGCGCAAGCTCTCCTCAATGACACCACCATGGTCAATCCTTATGAACACATCCCGAATCCTCGTAAACGCTCCAATCGTGGCGTCGACGAAGTGCTTGATAAACGACGAAAGTTCACGGGTGAGCCACCGCTATTTTCCATTGCCTTTTTGTGTTCTAGGGTCATGGCATGTACTTGCAATCGGTAGTTGAATTATCAGTTGTGGTATCCTGGTAGTTATATCCAGCTGTCGAACCTCACAATATAATAGTCCATTCGCTGTTCCCTAAATTCTTTGTTAAGAACTGTAGACCGCAATAATGCCTGTTTAATCTTGACTCCAGTTGCCACCTCTTGCAGACCAAGATAAGCTGCAGTCATGCTAGATGCCACGAGACGTTAGGAAGAGTTAGGTTAGTCAAGTTTGATCTTGATTCCATTGTGCATTATACGACGAGCAAAACTAAAATATTGAATAGTGTATCAACCATCAGTAAACGGGTGAGGTTAAATTACTGGGCACAAACTGATCTTAGATTGGCGTCCGTCAATGATGTGCATTAAGGTATGTCGAAGGTAACTTCCCCTGATATGCAATGTGCCGTAAATTATTGGGACAATCAGTTTCGTTCGTAGGAGGTAAAACCAATTCCATTTCGATGGAATAAAACCCATTCTCAATTAGTATATGTACGAAAATTTACCGTACCACGAGATGAAAATTCGCATGATGTCCAAGTGAAATGTAATGAAGAGCACTCCGATCATATCTACATAAAGAAGATTTCGTGGTCGATGCCTTGTTTGTTGGTCTTTTGTGGTGATCCGTCAAGGTGGAAAAAGACCATCTTCAATATGGTCCAAGTGTTGAGCTTAACAACAAGTACCTAAAGCATTCTTGTTCAAAAGTTCTTGGCCAAAAGAGTTCACTTGACATTCCTGTTTTCCACAATGGATTGAGGTGGTATCGTATAGCGGAGCATCGAAAAATGCTAGTATTCACAGTAACACGGTTAACGTCGCATAGAACGTTATACGACACTGCTATGTTCAATGTAAAATCGTAAACGGTGATTCTATACTAACTAGTGAACACCGGTGCAGCTTGCGTTTATGCATTCATCAATCTTTTACTGTTCTGCGGCGGATTCCGTTTACCGACCTTCGACTGCCACTTTGAACGGAGTAGAGAAGAGAACCAAAAGTCAGGGGCAGCATTAAGGTGAAAGAAAGGAACTCCGCTAAACTACCATTATGAATACATCGACTAAGTACATGGGCGCCATGCCATTTAGCGCGATCGGTATGACCAAACCCCCTGGTCGGAGTTTTCATACACTCACATCAAGTCTCAGTTTAGCAACCCATGACTTTTATCGGCTACCTACCTCGGGAATCATCACGTTGAGAAAGCCTACTACGGTACACAATGCCTCATCAGTCGTGACCTATGGTGGGTAAGCGCGCTGCGGTAGTAGTGTAACTTCGGTTTTAGAGCTTTGAATCTTCATCCTGCTTCCATAACGACCAAGTGTCGGTGCCATGTAGAAGCGCCGGTCGAACTGATGCAGCATGCATCCACCCTTCGAGGCAGATGTTGCTACGGTGTCGGAGATATTTCATCTTGGTAAAAGCTAACCTATATGCATACCGAAACTTGATTCGTGGTGCGTCCCTCAGGTGAAGTAAGTGTCCGGGCGGCCTGCTGAAAAGTCTAGCACTGTGATCGAAAAAGTAGAACAACACATCTGAAAAAGCAAGAAATGATCGAGCAGTTTCGACAATTTGGATTAACAATTTCAACAGGAATTATGCTGTAGGCAGTGATCTCAACGCATGAAGAGTTTTCTTCGGATCATTAAACAATTCACTGAGGATCACAGTTGGCGAAAAGCCAAAGGTTCTCGACGCAACATGGGGCAGGATATTTAGTGACGAAAGTTCAATCTAAATTGGTCGAATAGTTTACATTGCTACTTCCATGGTACTAGCAATCATTTCGTGTGGATAACATCGTTAAGTGAGGAATTAAGTGGTATCTTTTTCGCAGCTTTTTTAAGCATGTTGGTACGCCCAGACAATCAAAATGCAATACCCCAAGGAAATGCTCTTGAACCTTCTCTCTCGCTTTCTACCACGAGGGCAAACGGGCTAGCATCCTTAAATTCCACGACGCTGTAATAATCGCGATGAGCCTCACATTTGAGTGGTCATTTAGTTAAGTCCTTGTTTAGGAACTGTCCATATGCAGTCCTTATCAAAGCCCCATCGAAAATCACTAAGGACTTTAGCTTTAAAAGGCCAATCACATCGACCTTTGTCACAACACCGTCCTTGGGCTTATGCGACTTTTAAACAGGAACGAAGTGACCAGCTTGAAAGCCACCACACCCTGGTAGTGCCGCCGCTGTTTGTTCGCGACTGCTTATTTGTTGCGATATGCCACATTTTTTCCACAGCTAACCTTCTTCGGTGGAGGTTTCCCCCTATCCACAACCTGGGGACGCGCCTGGTAGCATTCAGCTCTGCTTACCCGACGGTATCCAGCTAACGATTTTCAGAAAAAGTTACTAACTATTCACTTGGTGCAAGATAATTGGTGCTACTAATGCACCATCCCTGTGCTTTTGTTGCGCTATTTTGTGGGTGTATTCGTGAAGTACATGCAAACCCGATTGTTAAACATATCCGTTGACTTCAGTCATCGTCGTACAGCAAAATACAGCGAAGCGAACTTCAGTGATCGCTGCCAAACCCGCAATGCATATGCATTGTGGTTTGATGGACGGGTACTGCTAGTGTTCAGCCACTGGATCAGGAGAACGATTAGGGCTCTCAACCAAAGCCTTAAGTTCTGACAAGAACCTAACCACAGGACAGCGGGTGAAGCTAAGTGGAGGCCCATTTACTTGGATCAATTACTCCGCCATTTTTTTTTACTGACAGACGCAAATTCCAGTCAAAACGCTCAACCTGGAGGACCAGGAGACTGGAATTTGTCCGATCTCTACCCTTCAACCTTCCAGGCATGATTGGATCTTCGGCTCGACAAAGCTATCCTGTGTAGCTCGTTGGGTCAGATAGGTGCGCAAGCCATCACACGTCAAAGTGAAATCTCGTCGTGATGGCTTCAATGCTCGCTGAATAGAAATGATCGTTGTGATGAGGCTAGGTAGCGAAATTTGAGTGTCCCCATAATTTTGGCGTGCACTGTATTTACCAGTCACCAGAGCTCTGTACTATTAACAGCTATCTCCACATTTACGTTTTTCTGTAGTTCCAGGCAACGCACGTCGTTCGTAATCAGCCTTTCCATTGATTTTAACTAATACTTGAAGAATTAAAAATGTGCTGACTTAAATTTCTGTCAGTATGTAACCAACTCCCACTATAAAATAATTCCTCTTTTGTAAAAATCCCATAAGACTGATACCACAGGATTTCTACCACATTTTATCCTGGATCCTGTGCATGATTGCTAATTGAAAAGCACCAAGCGTTGTGAGAAGCATTTAATAGACTAGGTTTGTGCTCGTCGCGACGCTGCTAGCATTTTTAACTTTATGCTGCAGAAGAATTGCCAAATGGAGTTCAGTTGCGTTGCCCAATTTCATCTATGATTATCTGCTGTCACTAATCTCGTTGAAGCTTGAGTGCCCACCATATGCTTCTCCACGGCCGTTTATTTATCTGCGACTCGAATTTAAATCCAGAAGTCGCGTTACAACAATGCATCGGTTAGCATTCATAAAAGCTACCTACAGAATTGCAAAGGCACCAATCGAATGAGATCATGAGATTCAGTGTCAAGTACAAATTATCTGTTTGTAATGTCTAGTGGGTGTTGACAGGTCTGGTTGCTATTTGGTTTAGGCGAGTGATTAAATTTAGGTTGAATGTTACAGTTAATCACAAGGAAAATCGTGTTAATTTGCTGACTTTATCGGGAGCAACCAGTGGTAGGAGTTTAAAATGGCACTCATCGTAACCCTTCCATGATTTTTTTTGAAAATTTCAGATGTATCTACAGGTCGTTCACAAGTGTTGTTTCGACGTTTGGGGAAATAACACTTCACTAGTACCTGTGCTTGACTCTGTGGTTGCAAGATATACAATTGTATGGTGGCTCGATTGCTGGCATGAAAAGTATAAATCTCATGTCAAGCAATGCAACCTGATTTTTTCGTCTCTCGCGTCAAGTTGACATTTTTGAAATATTCTTTGTTGTATGCGACTGGTTGCTTGCGGTGGTTGAAGAGTACTCAAAATGTCCGTACAAATATCCTCTATATTTTTCTTTTCTTCGGAGTTCACGCCATTTGGCGCGAAACTAGATAAGTTAGCGAGCACTGGTCCAAGTCGATGAAGTGACCAGGGCTTCAAAGCCCCTAATAATGACAAAGTAATCATCCGGATGTGAACCCACATGGGTTGGATTTATACCGTCGATCCTTCGTTCTTTGTAAACGCACTGGAATGCAATATTTTTTGGATAATTTATTCAGAGATTTTACCATCCATTGGGTTATGATGTACAATAGTGGTGTATACCATAATTTGTAGGTATAGCAGAAGGCAACACAAAGATGCGTTGTTCTAATTATAGTTCGCAATGGTTTCAGGTGGAAACCGCAGCTTTCCTGATTATCGCGTCGCTCATCTGTCAGTATCCTTAGTACCTTTCACATTCCCTTGACAAGCCAGGTTGAACTCTCATGTGATATTTGGTTAATTTAAAGTGGCGGTTTGAAAGTCGAAGCAACAGTTNTATCACGTTTATTTTTCCCTAGGCCAGTGTTCAATTACTGGTCGTTGGAAAAACGGCGTATGGTTCTTTCATTGCTGCAAACATTACTTCGGGTTAAATGAACTGATGTCATTGCGAGTCCAATGATCCAGCTTTGTGCAAACAAACCAGTTTTGTCTGGGATAAATACCATGGGAATGCTGCAGTTAAATAACCGGGATGCGATTATTTAGTTATTGAGCTGTCTACAGGGAGACATGATTATCTCTCGGTTGGAGTTCCTATTGACTGCGTTATTGCTTCCAATTGTTATGCGATCGTGATCNTATTTACTCCCTATTTTCCCTATTGCCACGAGTGATCATCCCTCTATGATGATTCGTTATATAGATC